TGAAAATGATTTTTTTTTTCCATTCATAGTAGATATGTTTAAGTAATAATAAAATGGCGCATTGTTTTTGCTAAAATCAATTCATGTTATTTTTTCTTATATTCTATTAGACAAACCCCAAATACAAACCAAAATATGTCGATCAAAGTTAGTATTAGTCGTGATCACCAAAGTCGTAACTCGAGGATAAATTTCTAGTCTACAAGTTAATCGTTAATCCAATCTGGACCTACAACTAAAATCTATTGAATATGAAACAAAAAATGCCGACTGTTAACATCTATAGGTAAACAAGTATAAATGGCAATATACAAACGTAGGAAATTGTTTATTTCAACCTAGGCTGAACTCTGTACTGATAAACATCTAAGTGGAGTAACTACTAGTTATTGGCGAACTGCCAAATCACTGCTGGTTAGGTCAGAAGACAAAGAAAAATAATTTTAAATTTAGTTAATAAATACTTAATTAGGTCAGCTAACGTTTAAAATTCACATTGGGATAAAATGCAACTGTGCAATTTTTTACATGGACCACTTACATATATTTCTAATGCCAACTTACACATCTCATACTTAGACGCCAAATCAATAGATTGGCAAGCGATTTAGACATTCTAAGTACTACCGAATTTGCCAATATTTCATGACGAAAAAGGTGCAAATATTAATAAAAAAAATCACATACACTACCAAAAGAGTTACTGAATGCCCTTTATTATATATGGATAATTGTAAATGTATATTAGAAAAATATAAAAGACTATTTGGTTTTCAATTTCGTCAACAAAATATCACATATGTTGTAATTGTCGATTATTGATAATAAAAATAAGTTTCACTAATTTTTCAAATGGCGTTTTTGTTCTTAGTTTAAAATTATATCAAAATACCTACTACAATTTATTTTCATTCATTAACTTAATTACTTTTTATTAATTATTAACTTCCCGTAGGGTAAGTTATTGTAATGGGCCAAAAATCGAAATTGAAAATTTTTATATTTCTCGACGTTTTGAAGGTTTCTGAACATTTTGGCATACCTCAGAAAAAAAGGATGTGTATGTGTGTGTATGTATGTATGGAATAAATTTTTTGTCCACGTTTTCGGGCGCAGCGATCAACCGATTTGAATGGTTCAAAAAACATTCGATTTCTATTGATAGGGAGATGTGCTGATTAGTTTTTGGCAGAGGCAGGTCCAGCCGATTAGGAGATACGGAGCAAAGAGTGCAGAAAATGGAAATTGAGTTTTGAGAGATCGAAGCATCCGACTTGAATTATCCCAAAAACATTCAATTTGTAATGACGGGGAGAAGGGGTGATTAGTTTTTTGCAAAGGCAGGTAGATACAGAGATACAGAGCTAAATGTGCAAAAAATGGCAGTTTTTAGAAAACTAAGCGTCCGATTTGATTGATTCCAAAAACTTTCTGCTTGCTTTAACAAAATAATTGATTTTGGAAAAAAAAGTTTTACTTCAAATTTTTTTTTTAATTTTTTTTCCAAAAAAAATTTTTTTTGTATATCGAAAATAATTCAGATTTTTATTTTAATATACCTTAAACAAATAATTTCAACTTTCAAATTTAGTTTATATAATTCGTATAAATATTAGACAATGTTACAATATTTATAATAATCTATTTTAAAACATTTAATATTCCTCGATCATTTCGTTACGGTACGGGAAGTTCCAGCAATTTGCCTTAAGGCACGATGCCATACACCCTACTAGTTTTTTATCTATTTTATGCATTGCATCACATGTCTTATCTACCTTGGAATCAACTAAATTTGAGTTACTTGTAAATATTCATTACTTAATTTTATTCAACTTTCAAAATGTCAAAATATTCCGTCTCACTGGCACAAGACGTTCTTATCACAATCATTTTCACAAGATGACTTTGCAGTTTATTTGACCCCGAGAATCAAACTTTTGAAACGTTAAGAAAAATGTCGCATTGTGCGTTTCAGATATATCTAGATATCATTGAAATGTTGCAATAATGATAAAAAATGGCAGGAAGTTGCATTTGATTTCGTGAAGTCGGAGCGCGAAGCATCGACCGGCGCGGACGTCCCGCCTTATCAAGATCTCGCGAAATTGAAGAGCTCGGGCTCTTGCAACGCCTCATGCAGATCGGAATCTCGAGCGAAGAAATTTTTGCGTAATTTCGAATTGCTTTGTACTGCGATTTTAAATACAATGAGTGAGGCGTAAAAGTGGATGTTCCACAGGTATTACAGTATGGTTTATGCAGATAACACTGGTTTACATCAAGCGTAACGTATATAAATATCTCATCGACAAATTATGTTGATTGAATAATATAATAGGGTAGAGCGTGGCTTATAGGTCTGCTAGTAAAAAAGTCTTCCACTGATATTTCAAAAGCAAGTAAAGTAAATTTTCATAGAACCTCTATAATAGCTTACATGTGGGTGGAGTAAAAAGCACCTACTTCAACCACTGCGTTTCAATAAACATAAATATATCTGCCAATTATCAGTTGTTTATAATATTTTTAATGCTATTTACATTTCAACTATTGAAGCTCTATGAGGCGCAGGCTATTTTATAAACAATGACTCAGTTTGCATCGAAAAGTTGAATAAATTACATATAGCAGTAATAAACAGTGTTGTATTTTGAAAATAATTTCAAGTTATTTTAGTAGTATTTTTAGCCTTTTTCTTTGCTACATAGTATTTTTTTTTTTAATATTTAAAACGACCGAGCGCTTTTAAATATGGCAAAACGACTGGTAAATTTTGTGACTTAAGCAGTTGTGAAAATGAGTTTCAAATAGACATTCATACAGACAAATTTTACGAAATTACTATTCGCACCAAAGATAGTGATGAATGTGATGATGATATTATCAAACCAACAAAAAGAAGAAGTTCGACAAATCAAATGAGGAGCGGAAAAACATTAGCGAATGTGCCGATTCTCTTTCAATAATCGATGTTGACATACATCAACAAACACCCTGACTACAAATACCAAGCAATATAAGACATCCAATAGATTATTTTGCTTTATATTTTACAAATGAATTATTAGACAATATAACCGAAAAAACAAACTATTATGGCATCACAAAAATGAACAAATATACTGACTAATCAGTGGCATTGTATTGTCTGTTCTGACAGAAAATCAACCAGTATGCATTTTGGAAATTGTTTTGAACTTTACTATTTTTTATAAAATGATTAAAAATTAATATTATAAATGTATGTCCTTCAATGACCAAAAATTTTTATCAAACAAATTGCATAACATACACAATGAAATCAAGTTTACAGCCGGTACAGTAGATTGTTTTGAAATCGGTGCCGTCCCGTAAGTGTTAAGATTTCTAAAAAATAACAGACTTTTATAAAACTTTGAATGCTGTTTACCAAAATTTAAGTTCCGTAACAACAAGTCAGCATGTTCAAAATTCTTATATAATTCACATAAAAGCGACATACAAGCCTCTTATGTGAATTATTCATAAATCCATCATTAGTAGATATATATTTTTTATTGTTTACAGCAATCAGACTTTATTACTATAAGCTGTATGATTATGACCTAAGGTATTGATATAAGCAAAAGTTCATAATAATATTAGCTCTTATCTAATAGTGTGCATATGATTGATATGATGAACTATGTAAACGATTTACTTGAATTATATGTGATCTATAACAATAATTGACATCAAATGATTATATAATGTTAGTTTGTAATAATTGCATAAATCCATCTTATAAATGTTTTCTTTGATTATATTATATAAACAAACGATATTGAATTAAAATTAAGATAATCCAAAGTAATAATGTTTATAATAATAAACTCGATGTTTGAAAAAGATAAATATTTATCATATTTAATTGTATTATTAATTCGGTAGTTCAAGTATTTATCCGATTTTTTTCAGGGCATTTAAAGGATTTCAAATATATTTAATTTTTATACATTTTATGTTTTACTTTTTGTGGAACTTGATTTATAGCTTTGTTTATGTACGGTTTATTTATTGAATGGAAAGTAATCTTACGTTTTCGTACAATCTCATACACCACTAGTTATATATAAGATCGTAAAATAAACAAAGAAACACTTTTATTTTCAGAAATATAACACTTAACGGTTCTGGTGCTGGTTGATTCATGTGCGATTATATCTCTTGACTCCGTGCGAATTTTATTCTTACTGTAATTTTCTTACATTAACTTTCTTTTAAGCATCAGAAACAATAGAAGTTGCAACCTCTCTAAACTATATTTGCTATTGTTCAAATCACATCAATCAGAAATAAGTTCTTACCACCTCATTTCAAACACCTGTTATTGATATTTTGATTTCAATTTATATTAGCATTGTTTAAATTTAATTTGTTTAATTTGTAATTAATTGTAGGGCTTTTCCGAGGTCCATTAAAACTATGAATCACAAACTCCAGGTTTGATATCTGTCTCGGACAGCCTGATAAAGCGGTGATAAAACATCGTTTATGAATAAAAAAAAGAACAGCAATATATTTCCAAGTAAATATATGCCTCATCTAGAATCACTACTGCTTCGCACATCAGAACTTCTGAATGAGAGCCCATAGCTTTAACCACTAAGCCACGGAGGAGCTATGTGTTTAATATTATATAATCATTTTTGTGGGAAACTAAATTGTACTATAAACCAAAATGTTTAACCAGTACTTATAATATAAATACCATCGTTTAGTATTATAATACAACATTAAAGTATACAGCAACAAAATTCATCATGTTAATATACATACATATACATACACACACACATATATATATATATATATATATATATATATATTCCAACTATATTTCGTGATCCTGAAACTCATTGCGTGCGTGGCTATGTTAATGGCTTTTCATTCAGTTTATTTTCATTGCGGATAAATATTACAATAAAATAATTTTCATGCATTGTATATAATTAATATAAACATACTTTCTATTACAGATATGCATATTAACACAATATTTACCTGGCTAATAATCGCACTGCATGTACCTGGAATCCTCGGATCATGGAGTTATCAGCCCAACAAAGTAATCGAATATTCTACAACTTGCACAAAAGATTCTATGGACATCTTGATCACAATGGACAGTTCATTCAATGGAATTATTTTTGCAAAAGATTATCCAAACGCTTGTCAAGCAAATGGTATGGAATATAATAATTAGGCTAAACAGTACACTAAAAAGTAAATTTCAGCACTTTTCACTCGCGAATTCCGAGATTTATATGAATTTTGGCATCCGAGTCAGAAGGGTTGAATATAATCTTCTATTCACTGAAAACTTATACACTATAAGAAACTATTTTCACTACTCTTATTTACTTCGATGCAAACACTACCTGTAATTTAACACTAAGAGTTCTAATTTTAACTAATAGTTCACATTTTTTAATTTCAATTCTCTTCACTGACGTGATGATATGATATTGCAAAATCTAAAGCCTCCATTAATTTGTCAGTATTTGTTTACACCACGTGGAACTATTTCACACATTTTATCTACTCACCACATTTCCCACATTTTTCTATACACCACATGGAACTATTTTCCAAAATATTTAAAATAAATGGTTGTCTTTGCAGAACTAATAGTTTTGTGAATTATACACTATTTAATTTAACTCAATTTATTTTTGCTGAACTCATAACTATAGCAGAATACGGAAAGCAATGTGGTAATATTGACACCGATTTACTGATAAAACGGTACTATCAAACTGCCCGAGAAGAATAGAATATACTGCTTCCTTAGTGCTGCTACTAAAATTACTGCCGCAGCAGTGTTGCCTGAAGTAAACATTAAAGTGATAGTATTACCATATACAATACTTTTCACCACGATATAAGTAAAATAATTTGCCCTGAACTGTAACATAAAATAAATTAATGAATCATCTACTTATTGTTTTCTAATAAAATTTCTAATAATTTTTTTTTATTTTAGCAAGTTTCTCAGATCAATAAATTATCAAAGTTGCATTAACTTTTGAACTTTTTTATGCTGTATTTTTGCGAGCTTTGTAAATTATTAATAATTGCGGCTCGCCATGAAATTTTAAAAATTACACTAAAATATATTGTTCAACCTAAAAATTAATCAATTATACTTATGACATTTACTTTCAAATCATCAATACAAAATTAATCTAATCAAACATTTTCAAAGTATAAGATAGGAATATTATAATAAAAAAATCTATACATTAGGTTTGAATGATATTGAAAAATGTATTTATTATTTGCACATATATCTCTTAATACATATATCTGTTAATAAGAAATTTATTTTTATGGCAATAAGCTCAAAAACTGAAGACTGATTTGCGAAACATTACTATAAATAATTAAACTCGTAGTACTGCAATTACTACTCGTAGCACTACGATTACTACTCGTAGTACTACGTTTACTACTCGTAGTACTACGATTACTACACGTAGTACTACGTTTACTATTCGTAGTACTACGATTACTACTCATTCATTCATTGAATACTCCTCGTATAGTACTTTTAATTCTTTCATTGTAACTAAATTTACTACTCGTATTACTACGATTACTACACGAAGTACTACGTTTACTACTCGTAGTACTACGATTACTACTCATTCATTTATTGAATAATCCTCGAACTACTTTTAATTCGTTCATTGTAGTACTACGATTACTACTCATTCATTCATTGAATACTCCTCGTATAGTACTTTTAATTCTTTCATTGTAACTAAATTTACTACTCGTAGTACTACGATTACTACACGAAGTACTACGTTTACTACTCGTAGTACTACGATTACTACTCATTTATTCATTGAATAATCCTCGAACTACTTTTAATTCGTTCATTGTAACTACTCGTACTACTTGTAGTTGATATTTTTTATAGTTCATTCATTTTGTAATTCAACCACTCTATTACTACTCATTCATTCGTGAAATACTCCTCGTATACTACTTTTAATTCATTCATTGTAACTACGTTTACTCCTCGTAGTACTACAATTACTACTCGTAGTACTACGTTTACTACTCGTAGTGCTACGATTACTACACATAGTACTACGTTTACTACTCGTAGTACTACGATTACTACTCATTCATTCATGAATACTCCTCGTATAGTACTTTTAATTCTTTCATTGTAACTACTCATACTACTTGTAGTTGATATTAATTATAGTTCAATCGTTTGTAATTCATACTACCCATTCATTCGTGAAATACTCCTCGTATACTACTTTTAATTCAATTCATTGTAACTACGTTTACTCCTCGTAGTACTACGATTACTACTCGTAGTACTACGTTTACTACTCGTAGTACTACGATTACTGCACATAGTACTACGTTTACTACTCGTAGTACTACGATTACTACTCATTCATTCATGAATACTCCTCGTGTAGTACTTTTAATTCTTTTATTGTAACTACACATACTACTTGTAGTTGATATTAATTATAGTTCATTCGTTTGTAATTCATACTACCCATTCATTCGTGAAATACTCCTCGTATACTACTTTTAATTCAATTCATTGCAACTACGTTTACTCCTCGTAGTACTAAGATTACTACTCGTAGTACTACGTTTACTACTCGTAGTACTACGATTACTACACGTAGTACTACGTTTACTACTCGTAGTACTACGATTACTACTCATTCATTCTATGAATACTCCTCGTATATTACTTTTAATTCGTTCATTGTAACTACTCATACTACTTGTAGTTGATATTAATTATAGTTCATTCATTTTGTAATTCATACTACCCATTCATTCGTGAAATACTCCTCGTATACTACTTTTAATTCATTCATTGTAACTACGTTTACTCCTCGTAGTACTACGATTACTACTCGTAGTACTACGTTTACTACTCGTAGTACTACGATTACTACACGTAGTACTACGTTTACTACTCGTAGTACTACGATTACTACTCATTCATTCTATGAATACTCCTCGTATATTACTTTTAATTCGTTCATTGTAACTACTCATACTACTTGTAGTTGATATTAATTATAGTTCATTCATTTTGTAATTCATACTACCCATTCATTCGTGAAATACTCCTCGTATACTACTTTTAATTCATTCATTGTAACTACGTTTACTACTCGTAGTACTACGATTACTACACGTAGTACTACGTTTACTACTCGTAGTACTACGATTACTACTCATTCATTCTATGAGTACTCCTCGTATATTACTTTTAATTCGTTCATTGTAACTACTCATACTACTTGTAGTTGATATTAATTATAGTTCATTTATTTTGTAATTCATACTACCCATTCATTCGTGAAATACTCCTCGTATACTACTTTTAATTCATATATTGTAACTACGTTTACTCCTCGTAGTACTACGATTACTACTCGTAGTAGTACGTTTACTATTCGTAGTACTACGATTACTACTCATTCATTCTATGAATACTCCTCGTATATTACTTTTAATTCGTTCATTGTAACTACTCATACTACTTGTAGTTGATATTAATTATAGTTCATTCATTTTGTAATTCAACCACCCTATTACTACTCATTCATTCGTGAAATACTCCTCGTATACTACTTTTAATTCATTCATTTTAACTACGTTTACTCCTCGTAGTACTACGATTACTACTCGTAGTACTACGTTTACTACTCGTAGTACTACGATTACTACACGTAGTAGTACGTTTACTACTCGTAGTACTACGATTACTACTCATTCATTCTATGAATACTCCTCGTATATTACTTTTAATTCGTTCATTGTAACTACTCATACTACTTGTAGTTGATATTAATTATAGTTCATTCATTTTGTAATTCAACCACCCTATTACTACCCATTCATTCGTGAAATACTCCTCGTATACTACTTTTAATTCCTTCATTGTAACTACGTTTACTCCTCGTAGTACTACGAATACTACTCGTAGTACTATGTTTACTACTCGTAGTACTACGATTACTACACGTAGTACTACGTTTACTACTCGTAGTACTACGATTACTACTCATTTATTCTATGAATACTCCTCGTATATTACTTATAATTCGTTCATTGTAACTACTCATACTACTTGTAGTTGATATTATAGTTCATTCATTTTGTAATTCATACTACCCATTCATTCGTGAAATACTCCTCGTATACTACTTATGTAGTAATCGTAGTACTACGATTACTACACGAAGTACTACGTTTACTACTCGTAGTACTACGATTACTACACGTAGTACTACGTTTACTACACGCAGTACTACGTTTACTACTCGTAATAAATAATAACTATATATTATACAACAAAAAAAATTATATTGCAGCATACCTCTAACATGTATCAACCAAATTTGCAGGTACTTCCGACAGCGTGATCCTTCTAACATTGCCGACACGAGGATGTGGAGTTCGTTTGGAACCAGAATTCGAAAATGATAACAGTAAAGGAAGGACGATAGCTGCGAGCATTATTGTCCAAATGGACGCACGTCTCAGACAGGCTGCCGATGTGGAAATTTCGCTAAAATGCAAATTGCCCAGCATAAATGATTCCTGGGAAGAATCGAGTCTAATTTACAAAGACAAAGCCGTAACGAATAAACGGTAAGCCAGCGAGCCGACCGAGGAGCTGCTGCATCTCATTGCATTCGAATCAGCATCGGGATTCGTTTTGCTTTGGTTACAGTTCGAAACAAATTGATGATCATGCATGTTACATTTGGCTTATTCTTATAGTTTTGCCGTTACTTGTAGCAGGAGATCTGATGGATAACTAATATTTTCTCGTAAGAGTTGGTAATAGTTTCACGGAACAGAGTAGATGAGAACCCGTTATCGTAAAATGATAATTGAAAGAAAATACCAAAATATTTTTATTGTTATTAAATCCACTTTTTCCAAATCCTCCTTTTAAAATATACTGAAGGTAGTCGTACCTATGTTTAAAAGGGGATATTCCCACATAGTTTAAAGTCTTTTGATACAAAAATTGATTTATCGATTATGAAATTCGCGAAGTAAAAATTATGAAACAATTTCGATATTCCATGTACAAATAACAATCTACTGGTATATATCCGAATGTTATTCAACAGTACTTATTATTTTGACCACTATACTTTAAATTGCATCTGGACATGAAGGAAATCGTTTCGCGGAAGCAGAAAACCTCTGTTCTTATTAGCTCAGATTACTGAATCTGAAGTATTTTTATGCTTTTATATTTTACTATATCATGAGAGAAATATGGGTCGAAAATCGAAAATGAAAATTTTTGCATGTCTTAACGTTCTGAAGGTTTCTGAACATTTTGCCAAACCTCACAAAACATGGATATGTGTGTTTCATACCCGGATCAATTGATTTGAATGATTCAAAAAAATATAAGATTCCTATTGATAGGGAGATGTGCTGATTAGTTTTTAGCAAACGCAGGTCCAGCCGTTACGGAGATACGGAACAAAAAGTGCAGAAAATACAAATCGAGTTTTTGAGAGAACGGAGTATCCGATTTGAATGATCTAAAAAACATTCAATTTGTAATGATTGGGAGAAGAGGTGATTAGTTTTTGGCAAAGGCAAGTCCAGCCATTTCCAAGATACGGGGCTAAATGTGCAAAAAATGGCAGTTTTTTAGAAAACTAAGTGTACGGTTTGAATGATTCAAAAAACTTTCTGCTTGTTTTAACACAATAATTACTTTTACAAAAAAAAAATTTTTTCCAAAACTTTTCTTGTGTACCGAAAATAATTCATATTTTAATTTTAATTCTGACTAAAGTTCTAATATACTTTAAACAAATAATTTCAACTTTGCAATTCAGTTTATATAAATCTTATAAATATTAGACAATGTTTTAATATTTATAATAATCTGTTTGAAAACATTTAATATTCCTCGAACATTTCGTTACGGTACGGAAAGTTCCAGCAATTGGCTTAGGGCACGATGCCATACACCACTAGTTTGATATAAGTTTAATAAAATGACCATTCAACACAAATATTGCAGTACTAACAAATTACAAATACTTAGTACACAATCTATAATATTGGTAGAATAGAAAATTGTCACGTGTTAATAGATTTTCACATGCACTCATGTTTGTTTTTATTTTATTAGTGTTGAAGTTGATTTAATTACATATATTTTTGAATGCTTCGTGATGTCTTTATGATTCAAAATTTATAAGAAATGGAACAGGATAGAGTTATTAAAATCCAATTATTATCCGTAGGACTGGTCGAACAGAACGTTTGTCTAGTCTACCACTTTCTTCGATGGCTTCAGGGTGGTTAGAACTTTTCGGAAGTGCAGGTACTGATTACGCGGAAGTTGGACGAAACGCAACATTGCGCGTGCGAGTCGAAGCTAATGGACACATGCAAAATATTCCCGTACGTGGCGCCAGAGTTGCAGATTGCTACGCATCAGACGGAGCACCTAGAGAAATTACTCAGGTAATTTATACTAGGTAGTACACATATTTATACATAATATCAATAATACATATATCTACCATTTGAACTTAAATTAGTCAGTAATTTCTTCTGTTATGTAAGAAATATTAATATTTCTTACTAATTACTATATATTTTTAATATTTTTATAAATAATTAATATTACTTACTAATAACTATATTTAATTCAATAGAATCTGCTCATTTTCATATTGCTAAAAATAACGAAGATATATTAACCCTCCGTCGGTCGGCGTGGTCTGGCCAGACTTTTTTCGACTTCAATTTAACAAAAAATACTTCTAGTAATCCTATCGACTTGAAATTTCTTGACTTTTCCTAAAATTTCATTAGCTATCGATCAATGAAAAAGTCAGGACGAAAAAATGTACAGAAGGATAATTATAAGGATATTAACTTTTTTATACTTCGAACGGTCGGAAAGGTCTGTCTAGACCACCCATACATTTTGTATGAAATTACGCTTTTTGATATATGTAAACCAGTATTGTGTCTTTTTTCATGGTATTTTCTATTCAAACTGCGTTGTATACTTGTTTATCTATGGTTGTATATATTCTTTGCTATGTGTTGTAACATGAATGTTAGTACTTTCATGACGAGAGTTTCTTGAAAACCTACCAAACTTATTGGTAATCGCAAACACTGAAAATCGGATGAGTAATTCACACATTATCAACAATTTTTCTACCCGTACTGCGTTCGAAATTTTTTTTTGGCAAACCTGTAGTGAAATTATATTTTCACTTTGAGTTTTACAGCTCATTTCAAATCCGACGCATCTCATTTCGTTTTCATTTGAATTTCACATTCATTTCAAAGGCGCCGAAATAGAATAAATATTGTTTTTCATTGATATAAAACAGCAAAATTAACAAAAAAAGCAACGATTTTTTTATATTTTTTGATTTTTTAAATATAATATATTATGTAATATTTTTAATATAAGCAAGATCAACACATGCAAAAGACGGTAAGAAAAAGAAAAAATCAGAACTATAAATATTTACTACTAATAATCGTTAATATATAAGACACCAAAAACTCATTTATCCCATATAAATGCATGTAAAATGAATGGTGGTCCAGCCAGACCTTTCCGACCATTCGAAGGTGAAAAAATATCCGACCGACGGAGAGTTAATAAAACTGCATGCAATCCGCAAACTGTTAACATTTGAAATTATTATTACATACTGCAAGACAACACATAACTATATATAAAAAATAGTTAAAAATTCAATTGAAAATTGTTGCTCTAGTTTAGTATATTCTTTCTGGCCAAATCGAGCTTTAGTGTTCATTTAGAATTTCTTGCTATATGAAATAAAAACTGAATTATTTTCAAAAGCTATATTAACTTTTCAGTTACTGATTGATAGAAGAGGATGTCCTATCGATCCGCTTATATTACCACAATTAGTTCTTGAAGAAATTTCTACAAAAAATAAAAAAGGTAAATTATCTTGGTCTTTCATCGCCAACTTTGCAGCTTTCAAGTTTCCTGATCGGGAAAGAGTCACAATACGCTGCGATGTTCAATTGTGCAACAAGGAGTGCAGACAGGTATCATTTAAAAGGAAATAAATATTTATTTTTTTGGTTAGCATTAATTGAATTAATAGCTTGTTCCAATTTATTATAGTTTGATTGCAGCAATGATGCATTCCCGGAGATCGATTATATCGATAAAATTGAAGTGTTTAATAGTTTGCATGTGGAAGCACCAGATATAGAAGAAAATGATGCACGATATTTTGACGTTGCAGGTAATTTAAGAATATTCAAAAACATAAAGCAGAACTCTTGAAAAAGTTTTATTAGATGTACAACTTTTCTTCTGCAATTACAGACTACATTGTAAAGAACTCGTTAGTAAATTCGTTTAAGTTTTACACCGACGGAATCGAAGTTGCACATCTAATAATATTTTATTATTGCAAATTGCAATACGACAATGAGTAATTAACAAAAATTCATTACACTACAATAAATAATTTATTATTTCCCAGTGCTGCCGCAAAGAATTCGACAGGATCCAATATTGATGGTAACGAAAATACAGAAAAGAAAGCCGCAGGCCGGGACATTATGTCTGTCGCCACAAAAATTGGCATTATCTTTCTGTATATTGGGATTAATATTTTTAATCGCCATAATAGTCGCCCTGTGTTCATGGTTTATAAGATCTCGCGCTAAAAGACAATCTCACCGAAGATTTTCAAACCTTTACGCTTGCAGTAGAAGCGGCTTTTCAATAGGCGGAAGCAGCACTAAGCTCTTGGTGAATACACCTGATGGTTCCTGGCCGTACGGTCGAGTTTTCTAAGAAGTAATATAATATCCTATACTCATGGATGCAGCTAGGAAGAACAGGTGGAGGACTTTACCTCCTCCCCTATTCGAGGGATGATCTGAAAAAAAGCATATTAATATAAATTTGTGGACATGCGTTAATATTTTTTCCCAAATCCTGGTTACGCCCATGTTGCCTGTTGTTAAGCTTTCACTAAGAAATGATAATCAATTATTAAGGGGGTCTTCCTATGTGACGGCCTGTTTTTTAGGCATATTTTAGGATTTTTTTCTACGACCAGTAAATATTTAGAGCTTCAAGTTTTTTATCATTTGTTAACACATATTTGGACAGTATAAATATAAAATTTCAGCTAAAAATATTCAGTCAAACTAGAGTTACAGCGCTCTGAACACCCCCGCCTCGAAAAAAAGAGCTCCCACTTGCTCCACGATTCCGGCTGATCGGCTTATCTGAAAAAAAATAAACGGCGTTTTAATTTGTAGGCTTAAAAGCACGGAATGACCTATAATCAAATGAATATAAAAAAATTGGATTTTTGATAGACAATTGAAATAAAAGTTGCAAATTAGGCTTTTTTTGTTTTTTTTTTTTTGCTATAAAAAATCGAATTTTTGAAAATTTTCTATTCAATCGATTGATAATAGTTCATTCCATGCGTTTAAATATATTGAGTGTGCCCTGTAAATTTCAAGTAATTCGGTCCAGCCGTTTCCGAGATACAATTGAGGAAAGTTTGAAAAACACAGTTTTGAGAAAAACGCGTTTAAAGTTTCAAGTCCGTTAAAAACTATTAAAATATCAATTTACTCTCAATCGCCGATGCCTGGTCCATACAGTATTCCTTCCTCTTCCTCGTGAAACTCCTTTGAAGCAGATTGTTCAGCTCTTGAGTCAATCCTGGCTTGTTTAACAACATCACTTACGCGCCGCTCAGAACGTAAGATTCGCTTTTCATCCCGTTTCTCAACATACGCTTGGGGCTTCACGACCAACAGGGCATCCCATAATCGACATAACTTTTAAAATACCTTGAAAACCTTCATTAAAGATAATAACTGCTAAGTAGCTAGCAATTTCAACAATTTTGGGACCAGAATGAAGATGTTTAGGAGCGAAAGTCCAAATCAAAGAATTCAAAGATTCGTTATTGTTTTGTGTCTCTGCTCCTAAACAACGAATTAATAATTCGTCTTTCGATAAATCTTCGAAAACCGGTTTGATAGCTTCTTGGACTTGCGGAATTAGAGGTGGTTTATCGTGATGAAATTGGTCCAGTTAATTATTAGCTTCAGCCTTACGCCATTTACACCAAAACGGTTTCCACTAAACTTTCTTTTTTTACTACGACCAGGATGAACATTTCCACTCGTACTTCCTTTCCGTCCACTCATTATGAGAAAAAATAATTTGTAGCTGTTGCTCTCTTCGAAGTTCAACCAAGACTAAAATAACTTCGGTAAAATATTATAACAATAGAAATTTCTGTTTAAGTCCATAGAAACGTGTCTAAACTTGTATAAACGGATATATGAATAAAAGGGAGGCCGGGTATAAAGCCGACGGTACACAATAGGCCCGGGCTCTAACTGCCAAATCAGCGCTCCGAACCGCTCTTTCTTTTACCTGCTGTATCTTTAAAACGACTTCGAATTTTCTAAAATCGCTTTACTACCGTATTCTAGGCATGTTAAAGGAGCAATTTATGAAATTGCTTTATATAAATTTATTTATATATAACTTATGAAAAAAATCTATTTTTTCAACCCATCCCATTTTAAGGGAAGACCCCCTTAAAATCTCGCAAAGCAATTAGCATATCATGATTTTTTTTTTCAAAATGAATGTTTTGTTTCATAGAGACTAAAAGAATGTTAGCCATAATTAATATTTTTTTTAACTAATAGTAAATAGTTATTTATCTATTTACATAAAATTGTTGATCAGATATCACGTATGAAAATATCAATTGTTTAAATAACAATAATAAGAAAATTAGATTTTAATAATACTAATAGATATTTAGTCAAATTCTGGTAAATGTTATGAAATATAACGGTAGAAAAAAACTACATAAGAAATAGCAATTACAAAATGTGCCAATGCTCATGAGTTATGACAGCATTAAGAATTGCCCCATCCACGTGTTTATTAAACGATTGGTTTAATACGCGTTTTTAAAGGTCTTTTTAAGAAAAATCTTACATATCAAAAATAAATTATCTATCTTATAATTTATACTAGACGTTCTCTTTTTAAAATCTATTAACTAAACAATTAACTTGGTTCTTTCAAACTTGATTAAATTATGATAATTAATAGTATCTCCAATAATCAACTCATAAGATATATAAACATATATAGTGGAGTTTTTCAAAAAGTCCTTTAAAGAAACTAAGAAAGCATTTAAATGCCATTGTGGCGCCTATTTATGAGAATAACAAATTATGAGATAGCTATTTTTGTACAAAGATATTCTGAAATTGAGTTAGTGCGTAATATAAAAATGCGTATTCATAAACCGACTAGAGCCGACATAATCAAAAATTATTTATAGATTTTAATTTTTTTCCTGCGTTCTCTTAAAACTCGAAAAAATATTTCAATATGTCAATTATTTGATTAGTAATTAAAGAACAACAAACTGGATAAATAATATCCACACATTTTCGCCAAAAAATCTGACACCATAACTACTTTGTGGATATATTTTTTTAAGACTTAAAAATAAAAAATCTTTAAGATCAATATCTTTGAATAAAAATTGTATATAGTTAAGGAAATTATTATAGAAATTTGTTATCTATTGAAAAATATCGATAACATTTTACTATAAGGGTTAAATCACATTGTAGCTCTTTTCAGATTTTTGTCAAGTAAGAATGACAGAGATATAAAGTGATTTTAGGGTTTGGTTGGTGAAGGAACCTTATTCGGGTATTTACGAACTATGTTAAATATATGTAAGATTATTTATTTATTTAATTGTCATAATTTTAAAATCAAAATAATCACAATAGGTACAAGACTGATGTAATGTATATACACTAATGCACATTATTAATATTAATGCCAAAAGAATGTTCTTGTACACTGTGCAATAGATGTTGTGAAGATTAAAAAAATAAAGTGTATATTTGATGTTGAGTATATTTTTCATTAGGTTCAAATTAGATTCACGTTAACGTTCTGGATCAGCCATTCTGAAACAATAAGAACACAGATATTTTTAAATGCTATTTGCATTAAATTCAATTATAAGTTTCAAAACTCAAAATATATTAGGCAATTAATTTTTCAAAAATTAAATTTTTGTTTGATAATCCAATTACAATGTAGATATTAAAATTTGGAATGCATCTAATTATTAAAATAGAACGAAAGTAAGGTTCACGTAAAATGCTATTGTTGATTATATGAAAAATATATAGATTTTATGCACTATATCAATTATTCATTTTACAGTAAAAATGAACCATGTTGAAAATATTTTATAGGAATTAAATGTCATATCAAGCAATGCACAAAAATTAGTACTTTCGCAGTTTTATTATTCTCTTCAAGAAATTTGAGAAAAATACTAGTGGTTAGGCTAGATTATAAAATTTATAAAATGATAATCATTTATTCAAACAATAAAAATAAGCTCATTGAAATTTGCACTTTTATATACAGATATTTTTTATAATAATATCAAAAGCAACTATTTTAAAAATCATATATCATTGGTTTATCATCACTTACTTGTGAATTTTGAGGGTGTCTGAGGCTGTAATAGATGAAGTATCTTGGGGTGTTAAAAATACATATTGTTTATGTAGATTGCTATTTGCGCTTTGAATCAATACATCCATAACTACCTTTCGATTGATATGATCCTTAAAACAAAATAAAGACAAAAATTAGATTAGACATAGAATTCATGTCATCGTGAGTGGCAAACAAATTTAAAAAACAATATATACATAATATAATAATAATAACAATCATTAGCAAGTTGGTGATTGTGAATTAACAAAGATTACAATTGCAGTGAAACAGATTATTTGGTTCATCCGAGTCAACATCAAATTCTGTATTGAATTAATATACATATTAAAGTGATCTATAAATCATTTCCTTACTTTCTTGCTTACACTCTTTTACAATAATAAAGAAAATTGAACCACCATATGTTCAAAAACACTTATGTCAAAACCAAATATATATATATATATATATATATATATATATATATTTATATATACACATATGTGTGTGAGTGTGAATGTCTATTCAAAACAATTTATTAAACTACGCCGCTAACTTACCATAAAAACATCAAATTCGTCCAGAAAATAAAATGGTAAATTCATACAGTTCCACAATGCTACAAGAAATGACACAGTGCTGTAAGATCTTTCACCACCAGATAAAGAACGAAGATCCCGCAAAGTTTTTTTATTTTTAGAGTTTTGATTTTCATTGGTTTTTGAATTTTTTGATTGTGGGTCGATTTCAATTTCTAAAGTTTGTTCCTCATGATTTATATTTATGATTCCCTGTTAATTAAAAATTAAAAACAAATCATTGACATGTGTTTGAATAACCGCCGATAAACATAAAAATCAGATATCACCTGGTATTTACGCAATCGTAGCATAAATGCAAAATACTGCTGAACTTGTGACGTCATATGCGCCCGTAATTTTAGAAATACTTTATGCCTCATGTTTACAATTGCAGTTAACTAAAAACATTGAATTCATACATGTAAAATGTCAAATTAGAAAAAAATAAAAGAGTAGATTAACACATTCACTCCAGAAGTCTTTGGACCTATATAGTTTTTCTATGCTAAAACGTTTTATTTAAAAAATAGTTTCATTTACATTGAATTATTTAAAAAACAATTTCGTTTAAACAGCAATTCAGTGGCAGTGGCAAAATTGTTCTTTGGATCCTTCTTCTATGCATAAGAATCACTAACTAGTTGGTTCTACTAGGCCGCTGAATTGGGGAGAGATTTAAAGTAAATGTGACACTGTCAAAAACCGCATCAAGAAACAAGGAAGAGATGTTGACACTGTGCTAAACCAAAGCTTTCTGGAGTAAGGAAACCAAATTTTACCTCGTTAAGGGCATCTTGGTGAGATTCATTATTTAATTTTTCTTTTTCATATTCGCTTAGTTTTTCATCATATTCTTTCTGTAATTTAGCTGGATCAAGAGCACATGCATTCACAGATCGAATACTTGATTTAATTTGTTGCAATTGTTCATTTAAGTATGCTATTGTTCTATGAAAATACATGATTCCATTGAGTTAAAATTGGTAATATGATAAATACGATAACACAAATGAAAGAACAAGTAAAATACATTTATACCTTACAGTAGATGGCCTAGTAGCTTCGTCGACCCCGTTCATTAGCTCACTTAATTTTTCTTCTAAGCAATTGACTTGTTTTTTAATTTCCTCACATTGTTGTTTGACAGTATTAATTTTTGTCTCTAAAGTGCCCTTCTTTGAGCTTGTTCTTTTACTCTGCTCTAATTGATCGATTTTATCCTGTATAAACAATAATATATATATATATATATATATATATATATATACACCTAAGTCTGTTTTTACACGGTCTTTTTGTACACGGTTTTGAAATAACACGGTTTGAAAATTGAATATTTTTAATTTTTTTACACGAATTTATTCCATTTAGCACGATTTGAAATTTTATGTACCTAAATTTTTTTTGTCAAATTAAATTTTTGCGAAGTATGTTCATATCACAAAAAAGTATTCATGAAAGAAAAAAGTCTGAAACCATCGATAGTATCGATAGTTTGCGAACACTAGCTTAAAGATTTAAGTGAATTCCCCTTTAGCGCGTACAAACAATTTTTACTGGTCAAAGCAAATGTGAATAGCACTAATTTAATTCTTGTTCTTAAAAATTCTTGTTTTTCACCAATTTTAATAGGTTTTAGAGATTAGGAACAAATCACCCATTTTTGTATAAGATCAATGTCTTTTTTTACACGTTTTTTTTTTACACGGCTTCTTCTGGAACCAATCTCCGTGTAAAAACAGACTTGGGTGTATATGTATATATACATATAAATATATATATATATATATATATATATATATATATAAAGTGCAAATAGTACGTTTAATACAATATTGTTCTTATACATAGATCTTGTCTGAAACATGAAAAATATTAAATTGATAATTTCATAAAAAAATAATAATATTACCATGGATTAAGAATTCAACTAAATCTAATAAAAAATTATAATACATGACTTAGGAAGAAAGGAAGTTACAAATGCAAATTTTGCTTAACAGTCAATTTTTGCCCGAGTGCAATCTTAAAATTATATAATGATTTATTAACTTAATAATGACACGCGGGAGTAATTTTTAATATCTATAGTTATTATATTATAAATTAATATCGATATAAAAAATATGTGACAAGCCATAAATTCGTATTCGTTAAATAATAATTGAGTTTCTGTTATAATTATAAAAGTATTAAAAAACTACTGATGGATCTCAATTTATGATCATCAACCTAGTCTTCTGTATTTTAATAAAAAATAATTTTTGATAACAATAGATTTCGTAGACTGAAATACCATGCTAAAATCTATGATGTTTTAGCCTACGATAAGCGGTTGAATTATAAAAATCGATCAAAGTTTAGAATTGCTCCGCGCGCGGATGTATGTATAATACGTTCCGTATGTTTCGTATGTGTACACTTAAATAAATTCATTTTAGAAGATTTTGAAAGACATCAATTAGAAATCTTATTGATTATATTTTTAGTGAATGCAAAAAATTTATTTTCAAAATGAACATTTTACCTAAATAGCTGTAGATGTTGATTAAGTTGATTATATACATGCAACTTGCTTTAAGGTAAAATGCTACTTACAACTAGTTTAGAGTTAGTTCCACGAGTCAAATTAAATAATTACCTGCATGGATAAGCAAGCTTCTTCAGATTTCAGAACTTGCGATTTTGCCTGATTTATATTTTCATTAAGTTCTTGAATACAACACTTTGCTCTTTTCATGTCATCTTCAATTTCATGAAGAGAATTCTTCAAATCATTTTCCTTCTTACTTAAAATGTCAAATTCTTCTTTTAATAGCGAAACGCTCCCTTAAGAAAAAAAAATTAATTTAAACATCGAAGCTTTTGCGTGATATGTGTTGTTGATTCATAATGCATGTATAAGAACAAAAATAAAGCATTTATAATTTTATAGATTTAGATTTTTTTTTTAATATTACTTTCTTATTAAGATTTTTAATTTATGCATTAAAGTCGGCTTAGACTTTGGATCTGGTTCAGAGTACGGTTCCGAAAATCGGGATTTCAAAACTTAGGAACCGATTCCGAAAATAGGTTCTGAAGCGACTGACAAAATTAATACATATATGCTCGCACATGTGCACATGAATATTTGAAGTAAATGAAAACAAACTAGTGGTGTATTGCATCGTGCCTCAAGACAAATTGCTGGAACTTCCCGTACCGTAACGTAATGTTCGAGAAACATTAAATGTTTTCAAATAGGTTATAATAAATATTGCAACATTGTGGTAATATACGAGGTCTGTTCAAAAAGTACCCGGAATTTTCGTTTTTTCAAAAAAATATTTATTTATTCGTCTACATTAATGTGGTCCCCTTCAAAGTAGTCCCCCCCAGATATAATACACTTATGCCAGCGTTTTTTCCAATTTTCGAAGCACCCTTGATATTCACTTTTTGATATGTCCTTGAGCACTCTCAGCGATTTTCTTCAATCGAGGAAAACCGCCGTCCTTTCATGGGTCTCTTCAACTTTGGGAATAGGAAAAAGTCACACGGAGCCATATCTGGTGAATTTTTGCACTTTGCAACACTTTATTTCATTTTTTACGCAAAATTTAATACAAATTCTTTGACTTTTCAATTCTTCCATTGTAAAAATCGCCGAGCTCAGAAAAACACGTCGAACCTTAGCGACTACCACAGACAAAGTAAACAGTGAATATAGCTGAAAATTTCATCATACTTTAGGGGCATGTATACCAACACAATAAAAAAAAAATTTTGACAATCAGACACTCCAGACCCGCGAAATTTAATTATTAGTAATTCCGGGTACTTTTGAACACACCTCGTATATATATAAGAATTATATAAACTGAATTGCAAAGTTGAAATTATTTGTTTAAAAAATATTAGAACTTTAGTCAGAATTAAAATTAAAATCTGAATTATTTTCTATATACAAAAAAAAAATTTTTTGAAAAAAAAAATATGAAAAAAAGAAAAAAATGGAAACAATTTTTTTTTCAAAGGCAATTATTTTGTTAAAACAAGCAGTAAGGTCTCTGAATCATTCAAATCGGACGCTTAGTTCTCTCAAAAACTCGATTTGTATTTTCTGCACTCTTTGCTCCGTATCTCCGTAACGGCTGCACTTGCCTTTGCCAAAAACTAATCAGCACATCTCTCTCTATCAATAGGAATCACTATCAATGTTTTTTGAACCATACAAATCGGTTGATTCCTGCGTCCGACAACGTGGACGAAAAAATGCGGACATACAAAACACACACACATCCATTTTTTCTGAGGTATTCCAAAATGTTCAGAAACCTTCAAAACATGAAGATATGCAAAAATTTTCTATTTAATTTTCGATTTTCGCCCATTAGTATAACTACCCTACGGAAAGTTAATAATCATAAAAAAATATCATAACAATATACCTTCAGAGGGTTCTTCTTCATTTTTTAGTTCTCGCAACTTATTTTGTATTTGGTATGTTTCATTATCATATTCTTTTATTTGGCTGTTCAGCCTTGCAACTTCTTTTTGACCGATACTACATTGGTTTTTTATATCCGTCAGATTTGATTCATAGTTGGCAACTTCTGCTTGATATTCTTCTAATTCTTGTTGTAGTTGTCTACGATTTTAATTCAAAGAAATAAATAGCAATACATAATTATATATAATACTAAAGGAGTGTGGCATATGAAAAGGAGGGTGGAGTATGCAATTGTTAAATAATACAAAAATAATTAGCTTACATTTGACGTCCCTTTATATTAATCTCGAGTAGATGTGATGCCGGTTTATCTCCATAATACATTCTATAATTTGGAACGGGATAATAAATAGTTCCATCTTTCAGAATTGCCATTTTAGAGTTCTTTGGTACCATATCTGCTTGAGACATAAACTGCATTGCCTTATCTTCAGATTCAAAAGCAAAAGTCGCTCTATATTATGTTGATCTATTAAGCAGTTGGCAACCACTGGATCTGACACAGTTATGGCATCAAAGAAGTTCAAGATTCCATTTGATTTGTCGCTATGTGCTTTACTTCTTGAGATATCATGCACCTACAATCACATTAAGTATTTCTTACAGTTACAGTTTAATCACAATATATTTTGACATAAATAATTCTCTCTTTTTTTATTATTCTCTCTTTTACTTACAACTGTCCAGTTAGGGCATTTAATAAATTAACTATTAAAAAAATACTAGTTACAGTGGTACCCCGACTTACGAGCAAAAATATGAAAACTTTTCTCAGTTGTATCGATGATTTTTCTACCATAAAAATATTTTATAGTTAGACATATCAATTAGATGTTAATTATAGTTAACATATATTACAATAGTAATTGCGTAGTAACGATTTACCCACGCAAATTAATTGAGGGTTATTTTTAACTATACATGCATTAATAGTGTTTTTTCACTTTCTGTATATTTACAAAATATTATTTGCCAGTTGTATCGATGATTTTCTACCATAAAAATATTTTATAGTTAGACATATCAATTAGATGTTAATATAGTTAACATATATTACAATTAATTGCGTAGTAACGATTTACCCACGCAAATTAATGAGGGTTATTTTTAACTATACATGCATTAATAGTGTTTTTTTCACTTTCTGTATATTTACAAAATATTATTTGCCTTTATAAACATGGATCTAAAAATAAGGGCCATGTCTCTTGAATTAAAGCATAAAAGTATTGAAAAATATGAGTATGGCAAAGAAGTACGAGCTTAACACATCATAGATATTTACTGTGTTTAATAATAGGTACAACTCCAAAGCCTTACTATAATTTATAAGCAGCTTTCTGAGATCTAAAATTGTGGATAAAAAATATTTCAAAAAATTCTAATAGGTAGTGGAGTGCTGGGAAAACACTTTTTTATAATCTTGACCAAAGTTTGTCCATCTTGGGAATTCGACACAAGAAAACCTTTAAGAAAACTGGACACCAAGAGTCTTCTCAATCACACATGCCCAAGCTTTATTGTTTACTTTAATATAACTCCCTGAAGTCACAATATGATTAGGCTCATATATATACACGCAAGCACTCACACATATTTATAAAATATTAACTGAACATAAAATATTTATTAAAGCGATATTTGTTGTAAATTGAAATAAAACTTATTTTTGTTGTGAATTTGTGTTAATAGTTACTTTTCAACTTAATTTATAATTATATTATCAGCATATAAATAAGAAGTAATGATAGTATTGTATCACTTTATATTAGGATTGTAATATAAACCTAGTTCAAATAATTATGTTGCAAAAATTTTGTTTTCAAAAATAAATTAAAAGAAGAGACATACCTATAGGACCCCTGGGAGGAAGTTCAGTAAACTTTCCTGCTTGATGTGCCTTCTTAATCATTTCTAATAATTCAGGTATATGTTTCCATATAAAGATAGTACATTACATGATTGATTATTCAACTGTCTCAGAATGGAAGTAGTTGGTCTAGAAACAATTAAAACATACCAAAATAGGTACTACTGAAATAACATTTCGAAAATATTTGCATTTAAATAAATGTCATACACATAAAATAATTTTATAATAGTATAGTTATTAATATATATATATATATATATATATATATATGATGAAAGTTTTGTCGATGTTGATACATATTTGTAAATTTTTTTGCAGCCCAAACCGTCGAATTAAAAAAGATTAAATAACAAAATTATTTATTCTATTATAAGTTTCGACACTTGATGTGTGTCATTATTCAGTAATCAAACCAGGAAAACAGGAAACAGAAAAACAGGTTTTTCCTGGTTTGATTACTGAATGATGACACACATCAAGTGTCGAACGTATAATGGAATAAATAATTTTGTTATTTAATCTTTTTTTAATTCGACGGTTGGGCTGCAAAAAATTTACAAATATAAATTTATATATATATATATATATATATATATATATATATATATACATATACATGTACATAAACTGATACAGAAAATCTTACTTATTTTTCCATTGAGTTGATTTAATTTTACGGTTATTCTTTCAATATCATCCTGAAGCTTTGCATTATTTCCAAAAAAAGTAGATGACTCCACTTGTGTAAACTTGACGGAAATGTTTCAATTCTTCTTCTCGAGCTAAAAGAGTTTTCATTTTCTGCTCCTTTTGCTCTTTGAGCTCTTGCCAAATGCTCAATCTTAAAATATAAGTCAAAGTTAAATATATTATTGAACAGGCAATCAGTTTACACTTACTGTTTTTCTTTATTTTCAATTTCTTGCATTATTATATTTTGAGAGTTATTTATTTTCATTAGACTAGCTTTAGTCTGTTTCAAACTTTCAGCCTTTTGTTGGTATACATCTTTTTCACTTTTTAGATTTATTTTGATTTCATTATAAAATGACCTTAATTTTTCTGTATCACTCTGCTTCTCTTTCAAGCTGTTTACAAAGGATCTGAAAATAATAATGTTGAGTAAGCGTACACTATATTACAAGTAAATGAAAGAAAGAAATAAAATGTTTATATTTAATATAATTCAAAAATTACATAGTTCCGATAATGATCACTGTTAATTTATACCCTGCTTGAACAATAGGATAAGCAATAACTGTATTTACAAAACTAAAGCATTTGAGAAAATGGATCTCAGTTTAAACATTTATTCTATATACACTATATTTATTGTGTAAGCAAGGTAAAACATTTTTGATAATCAACAAATACCTTAGCAAAAAAAATTGAGCATAGGTTTCTATAGAGAACACTTTTTCAACTCGTACGAATATAGATCTTAATATTTTTAATACTGGTATAAAAGAAATGTTAAAATTTTGAGAGTCTTTAACATCTCTAACAAGTTAAAATCATAAACAAAAAAATTAATTTAATCATTCCTTTCTTTAACTTTATCCTTGTCCTTAATACTTATAGATGAAATAGAAAATGGTTTAAATTTTACTAAACAATGAATTCATTGATTTAGTAGAGACGCTCTTTACTGTTCTATTCTACAAAATACTATACAAGCCTAGTATTTTTGAATATGAATCGGATATTTCTAATAAAGCTATAAATACTTACTGTATTTTTGAATTTAAACTTTTCTTTATGTTATCTTCCTCAGATATTTGTTTTTCCATATCTACTATCTCATTGAGTTTTTCTTCTAATTTTATCAATTCAGAAGACTTTTCTTTTTCAATTTTCATTATATTTGACCACAGTATTTCAATTTCAATATTCTTTTTCGTTTGTTCTAAAGAGTCTATCGATTTGAATTTTGCTAGTTGCTTTCGAATTTCTTCCACTCTGGATTTCAAAGATTCTTGTTTCTGTAAATTATAAATTAAGATAAATTATATATTATATGATGAAAAGTTTACAAATCCTTAAAAATGTTCATATGTCAAGACTTATAATTTCATAATTATTTTAATCTAGATTTGTAATATTTTAGATTGTAAAAAAAATTTAATTACAATTTGTTTGTACTAATATATTTCCGACATTAACATCATTTCAAATCGTCTTTATTCATTGTTATACATTGCAGTTTATTCATTGCTTATAGTTTCCTTAATTTTACTTCACTTTAAACAATTATGCAATTGAAAAAAAAATATTACCTCTAGTATGACTAATTTGAAATAATTTATATTTGTCTTGATTCAGAATAAACATTTAATTAATGTTTCTCAGGAAGTATAATCTTATAATTACCTCTTTGTATTTTTGCATTTGTTCATTACTCTTTCTAATGACTGCAACTATTTCCTGAATTGTAGCCTTAATATAATCTAAAGAAGTAGCTTTAGTAAAGAATATATATCGCTTTTTAGGATCTGAACTATTCAGGAATGTTCTGGCAGTGTCTTGTGTTAAAACACTCAAAGGATTATCTATCATTATTTTAAGGTGGGAGGTAATTTTAAGTAGATCACATTTTTTTGTTGATATAATGTTTCCTGCAATTTACAAAATTATAATAGATTATTAATATTAGTATTTACCAATAAAATAAATTATAAACATAACAAAGCAAAAGCACCTGAATCTGATTTAATTTTGAAGCTAGATGTTCCAGATGAGTTTAATTGTCTCGACACTAATATAGAATCTCCAAATATATCTTTTTTGTATGCGAAAGGACCAATATTATTTATTTCTATATCTATAGTAGTTGCGGCACAGCCCTTTTTGATAAACTCTGTAGTATAAAATAAAACATAATGAAGCTTAATTGAGGCTATTTTAAAGATTAGTTAGATCCAGTAATTTAATATGGAAAAAACTTAATCTTTTGAACAAATTTGATGAGAGACCATCCATCCACCAGTGACTGAATTAATATACCAGATATTTGCCATAATCTCAATTGTCTCCCCAAAATTTATAGAATTCAAAATTCAATATTTTTGAATTATTTATCTCTTGGATTCGTTTTTCATTCACAAATAGCGTGTGTGTGTGTGAATATCATTCTATGCATGGAAATTTCAATTGTTAATACTATTTACCTTTCATTGATGTAGATCTATTAGTATTACTGGCTCTTCCTCCTAAAACCACAATTAACGCAGTCAATATAGCACTTTTACCACTTCCATTTCTGCCTATTACAAAGTTAATATTCTTGTTAAAATCTACTTTTAAAGATGAATGACACATAAAATTTCTCAGGTGGATTTTATTAATTTTGCCTGGTCTATCGCTCTGGAAAATTGATGTAAGATATATAAGAATTATTGAGCATAAATATTAGTTTTGTTTAGTGTCGTTTGGAAATACTTACCGAGGTTATAGATTTAACTAGTTTCGCTCGTTTCGCCTCAACTATACCACTTTCTTGGGAGTTTTCCTGTTGTCTTTTATTCGCCATATCAGCTATCAAACCATTTTTTTAAAATAATAAAAAATATTTGAAATTAAGTAAACGACATCATCTGTACTGACTTCTAACTTATATGCTTCTATTCACTGCTAACAACCTTATCTTTCTAGAAAATATATAACATAATTCCTACATCTATTAATTGATCCCAAACAATATGCGATAATGTAATCATATTTATTGTTCATTAAACATATTACATGACAATATTATTACATTGTCTAAGAATGTAATCCACTCGATTTATCACACAATTCGCATTCGCGCCGATCCCGCCATAAAATTTGACAGTTCAAGAAGCTACAATAAAGCGTTGTCAAGGTCGAAATCAATCAATGGTGTTTGGAGATACTAGTTTATGTTTATGTTTAAAATAAATAATTGATTGATTGCTTATAGTAACGAGTGCATTTGATACCTATAAATAATTATAACCAAGCTTTTGAGGTATTACCTACTTTCTCCAGTATTAGAAGAAAATCTTGAACAATGGTATTATTCTGTTATTTTATCAATGTTGAGCATAGAAAATAAATATTAATAAATACACATCTTTTCTTAGACAACAGTTACTTCCAAACGTATATCTTCGGGAGCTCCCGGAGCAAGAAAAAAAAATTCTGCTCCCAAATTGAATTATCTGATGAACAAAAAGCTGATTTAAGACAAGCTTTTGATTTGTTTGACAATGAACGAACCGGAACTATTGAAATTAAAGATTTAAAAGTTGCTATTCGTGCTTTAGGGTTTGAACCTAAAAAAGAGGAAATTAAAAAAATGGTCACAGAAATTAATCAAGATGGTAGTGGCAAAATAGACTTTGACACTTTTCAGAACCTCATGTACCAAAAATGTTAGACAAGGATATACGAGAAGAAATAATGAAAGCTTTTAGACTTTTTGATGATGAAGACACAGGCAAAATAAGTTTTAAAAACTTGAAACGAGTGTCACAAGAGCTTGGTGAAACACTGACGGATGAAGAGCTCCAAGAAATGATCGATGAAGCTGATTTAGATGGTGATGGACTTATAAATCAAGAAGAATTTTTAAGAATCATGAAAAAAACTAGTTTATATTAAGCATTTGCATTAGAGTATAAACACATAGTTATAGTAATAAAACAGTTCAAGCTGTAATTTTATTGTAATTCTTATGTATATTACACATAACTTTTATATTTCTTATAAATAATATAGTGCATTTATAATGAATTAAGAATCTAGTCACTAGCCATCAGTATTAAGGTACAAGAATTACTTTAAAGTATAAATGTGAAATAAATTATTTATATCCCATAATTACTGTTGCATTATTTGTACATATCTTCAAAAAAAAGTAATAAATAATACTATAAAACTTACTTATTTTGTAACGATTATATAAATTAATCATAACATAACATAAGCCCAGAATTGATTACAATTTCAAGCAGTAATTTAACTCGCCTATAAGTTTATTACACTGTCAACTCTGCAATCGATGAAGTTGAAAAACATTATTTATCTCCAGCATTTACTTGTTGATGAATAATGGCTTAGTGATCCTGTATTTTAAATTAGGATTTTAACTGAAACAACAAACAAACTCATTCTAAGTTATTTCAAGCATTGGTAAAATTTGCCATTAAACTTATTTGCTCTGATAGCTAATAATGCAAACTATCAAAACATAATTCATAAATTACTATCAAATAAATCTACAAGTCGCTTTATTTCTTTAATCCTTGCAGAATATGTGGCTACAGGTTTCATTACTTGTGAAACTTCCTCGGCTTTTGCGACTAATGTATACATGCCTTTAATATTAGCATCCATGGCATCAGTCATTTTAATGACAGCATTTTTATATGTATTGACATTATCAGCAGTTATAGATGAAATGGAATGTAAAATACCGCACAAGTTCTCTGTAAGTGTATCAATAGAAGTAGCAATTCTTTGTGTTTCCATTTCAAGATCATTTAAAATATCTCCGTTGACTTGATGAAAAGGCCTATAAAGTGATGTGATACTTGTTCCTATATCAGTTATATCATTAGGTTTTACATTAGGGCTGGCCAATTTTATTTTATGTTCTAAGTCTTGAGCTACGAAATGTGTCATCTCTCCATCTAAATGAAACGTGCCTTCAGAAGATATACTTGCAGGGCGATCGCACATTGCAATCTTATCTATATCTAATTCTAAGTTATTTTGCGTAATTTGAGGGTTGAAAGATATTTCACTGTAAGAAGCCGTCATTTGTTCCGATACTTCGTCGCCTTCATATGGAATAGGCGAATGCTGAGACAGATCTCTGTATTGCATGCCATCACTAGTTTTGTTCATTATTAATACTCTTTATTAATACTTATATTAATTTAAAGCTGAAGTGAATGCTAAAAGTCATTTAAAATAAATATCTTAGTTACTCATAGTTTAGATAAAACTAACAATAGACTGATAAAGAAGGGAAACAGACCTGTTTACTTATTTTTATTTATTTGCATTCTATAGAACGATTCAAAACAACAATTTGTTCAATTCGTGATAGACTGACAGTGGCATACCAGAATGGTTCTCAAACCCCCCGTTAATCTGACCCATAATAATTATGACATCTGATGTAAACACATCGTTTGAGCAGCGCTCAGAGCGCTCAGTACATACCGATACCGGGAATATAAATAATGTGTAAGTAATAATCGGAAAATAACTGAATTATACATTCATACATTATATTTTACGTATAATATATATAAATAAATATCCAGAATAAACTTTACAATGTTTGCAACTAGTACTCAAAAACATAGTTGGACCTTCAGCAATGAAAATGTTATTACAATGCTGCGTGAAAAACATAATATGAGATATCAATTAACATACGGCGAAGAATTAGATACAGACCAGAAACTAAATTATTTTCTTACACCAGAAGAAGAAAAAATTTTGTTGAAGAATTACGAAATTCACATGAAAGAGTTTTGTAGAAAGTTTACGCCACCCATGCCGAAATGTGTTCAGGGTACATCTTTTCATTATTTTAAAAGATTTTATTTGTACAATTCTACAATGGATTATCATCCGAGAGATATTTTAGCAACTTGTGTTTACTTAGCTTGCAAAGTAGAAGAATTCAATGTATCAATTACTCAGTTTGTTCATAATATTAAGGGTGACCAAGCAAAAGCAGAAAGCATTATACTACAAAATGAACTGTTATTGATGCAACAACTGAAGTATAATTTAACAATACACAATCCTTTTCGAGCAATAGAAGGTTTTCTAATAGATATAAAAACCCGTTGTTCTTTACCAAATCCTGAAAGACTTCGCCCTGGAATTGAAGACTTTATAGACAGAACGTTTTTTAGTGATGTTTGTCTCTTGTACGCACCATCTCAAATAGCTCTTGCTGCAGTTTTACATGCTGCTAGCAAAGAACAAGAAAACCTTGACAGTTATGTTACCGATACTTTATTTAAAAATGCTGGCAGAGATAGATTAGGAGTTATTATTGAAGCTGTTAGAACAATAAGATCAATGGTAAAAGTTATTGAAATTCCTCCAAAAGAAAAGGTTAAAGCTATAGAAAAAAAACTGGAAGGATGCAGAAACCCTGAATTCAATCCTGATAGCGCAGTTTACAAGCAAAAGATGCAAAGGTTATACCTAGATGATGATATGGTAGTGAACTGATTGTGATGCAATGAAGAAATGTATATTAAGCATTTTTTATAAGTAATTTATTAAATAAGTTCTGAAGTACTTTCCAAATTTATTTAGGTTTGAATAAATGATGTATTTAAATTATTTGAACATGCAATAAATAACTAATTACAATTGTATTTTCTGCTTGCTGGCTTATTTTCGTTTCCTTTTTGCATAAGATAGTTTATGGTGAACAAATACTTTTGAGTTTTAAAAAATTAAATTGTTCCAAATGGTTCACAGTAACAATATTTAGAAATTTTTAATTGAACTTTATCTGATAGATTGCATGTATTCAATAGGTCCTATATCCTAAGAATTTTATAGCTGTAGAAAATTAATACAACTATTTTGATACAAATTGAAATTGAAACATGATGAACAGAATTATTAAAGTCGTAAGACAACACATAATCTAAATCGAAATCGCTTATCAAAACTCTCAATTGAGAAATAGAAGTAAGAAATGATGTTGAATTAAAGCTACTGAAGCTGCACTTCACAAAAGTGTAATTATTTTCAGCATTCCAGTTTTAACACACAATAGAAATAAATAAGGAATTTTTAGTGATGGCTTTAAAGAGGAATAATTGGTAAGAGCCAAGGAAACGGAAAGGCAAAACCTATGTAATCTTGTTAAGAACTTTTAACAACAGGTTGGTAGCAGTTGATAGAAGAATACATGATGGTGAATCAGTCAGAAAAACTTAAAACTAATGCTCATACAATCAATATGCATGGAGTAGATCACTTCGACCAATAACAAACAAAAAAAATCTGGATAATGGAAGTGTGTGCACTAAAGTCATACATTTTGTACACTACTGTTAAAAATATAAATAAAAAGCAAAGTCACAATTGAAGTTTATAAACTTGTTTTCAGCTGAAATATTTGACAAAATATTACATTTTGAGATCAAATCAAATACAAAAGGGCAGGGTCACCAACCAACTACACATTACGCCCTGCAACCAAGAAAAAGTACCCAATAAAGTAAAGTATAAAACACAGAGGATCTAATTTTGCGATGACTGTCTATAAAAACCAAGATATCATATTAGCAATTAGTTCGAGTGTTGAAAAGTTCAAAATGCAGTAATTTTAATTTTACATGTTTCTATTCATAATAATTTCAAAAAATAACATGGACGTTTAATGTATATTATATATAAATATAAATAGAAATCATAAAATAGAAATCCATATCTTAATCATTTTCAATGTAAAATTTCACTCTGCAATTTTACAAAATGTATAAATCTCTGTCCAGAATTAAGAGATTAATTGAGCTATGCTTGAAGTTAATTTGATGTTTCAACAAACAAATGTAATATTTATATTACGCTCATGAGATCTGTCAATTAATTATTTGTTTCATATAAATGTGCATAAACATCATGTTTGAATAAATAGGTAAACAAATTTTTTTAGCAAATTCATTGAGCTTTTTTTAGATAAAAAATGAATAAATATCTTGGTTACATATGTGATATATTTAAATATATATTTATAACTTCAAAAACTGTTTTAACCATAATTCATGCAATAAATGCAACATCAAATATCTAAAAATATTTATCTAAAATTACAAGTTAGATATAAAAATTATTTGGAAAATGAATACTATTCAATTTTATACAATTAACTGTGTGTACTGTCATCCTCTACGAAGTCTTGAGCTTCTTCCATTGTAACACATTCTACGTGGCTTACTTTGTTCCTGCATTTTACACCATAAAATTTATTTGCATGTTCCAATAACTCTGGCCTGAATGTGGTTGTTATGAATTGAGCATCTGCAGATAATTCATGTATCATATCAGCAACTGCTTTTCTGTGTTGAGCATCCAAAGCCTGAATAATAGAGAATACCAATTACTAATTGTTTTTATTAAGCTATCATCACTGAATTATTGAATAAGTAAGTAAATATGATTTAAAAAGTAGACTTACTTGGTCTATTTCATCAAACAAATAGAATGGAGCTGGGTCACATTTTTGGATTGCAAAAATTAATCCTAAAGCAACTAAAGACTTTTGACCTCCTGAGAGCTGATTCATTTCTTTCATTTCAGCATCTCCTCCGGTGAAAGATACTCTAATAGCAACTCCAGTAAACTGCAAAACAGTAAATATAATAATAATTAATGAATTTAGACTTACTAACAAATTGTATTACTATTTGTAATCAACATGCCTTAGGAAATGCTTTATCAGCTTCTTCTTGAGTAGTTTTCATAATCAAACTTCCATGACCAGTAGGAACAAGTTTTTTAAAAACTGATGTAAAGTATTTTGAAACTTGACGGAATGTAAACTGAATTGCTTCTACCTTACGCTGCTCTAATGTTTCCATCAACTCTTTAATTTTCTCACCTCTATTATAATGAATAAATTAATGTATATGAATTTATAAATGAATATAACATATTTAAATTATATATATATATATATATATATATATATATATATATATTAATTGTTTAATATGAACAAAACAGCACTCAGATTTGTTTAACACAACTTTATTTTATGATTACAGACGTTTCGAGACCATGGTGTGTCTCATCTTCAGTGTAATTTCAAAAACAGTTACTTATATACTACACATTCTTTAATAATTTATTTAAATTTTATTTAATTTTTGGTATACAAAAAACACCAACTATTCCTTGCAATGCTTGACACAGTACTAAAGAAACATTTAACACTTACAGAAATATTCTAAACAAATTTGAAGTACTTATATAGATGGAGACAGAGAGGGTATCATTATAATGTAAACAAAAGGAGTGCTATCGCATACAAAAATCGATAAAAATGAAAAAACAAATTAATTTATTGAAAAGAATAAGATAAATGAAAAAATTTATAAATTATTAATGATGTTTATATAAGTGTCATGTAAAATATTTGTGTCGGTTCTTAGATTTATGCTATTGTTAGTCCGAACTATTAACATTGATTCTGCCATGCTCCGTTTAAATAAGTCTTTCTCATGGAATAAAATTTGGGGATTGTCAAAATCAAACTTATGGTTGTTGATATTAGCATGATCCACAAGTGTACTTTTAAATTTTTTGTTATCTATTTTTTCACATTGTAATTCATGTTGCCTGAGTCTCTTTTCTAAGTTCTGGCAGGTCTGGCCAATATAAGAGTGCTGTTTTGTTCATATTAAACAATTAATATTCGTTCCACTCATATCATAAAATTCTATATTATATATATATATATATATATATATATATATATATATATATATATATGATTTAGTAGTTAATTTTGATGTTGAAATATATGAGTGAGTTCTTGAGGGCGATACATCAAACAAAGAAAAGCCAAAGATTTATAAAATAATCTTTATTTCCAAACGTTTCGACATTCAATTTAATGTCATCATCAGTGGATCTAAAAACAGTATGAAAATTAGCATATCTAGGTAATTATAATATATGTGGATTTGTAAAGTAACTATACAATAAGAGAAAAATTAACAAATAGCAACACTTAACAACAAATCAAATATAAAAGATAGGAAAGGTAGTAGAGACTAGAATTAAATAAATAATTAAAAAGTATAGGCAAAAATATTTAAGTACACTCATATAAACTTTTTTTAAATTTTTCTCTTATTGTATAGTTACTTTACAAATCCACATATATTATAATTACCTAGATATGCTAATTTTCATACTGTTTTTAGATCCACTGATGATGACATTAAATTGAATGTCGAAACGTTTGGAAATAAAGATTATTTTATAAATCTTTGGCTTTTCTTTGTTTGATGTATCGCCCTCAAGAACTCACTCATATATATATATATATATAATATATATATATATACAGTAGAACTCCAATTATCCGAACTCCGACTATCCGAATCGCCGATTATCCGAATCACTTTCAGAAAAAAAAATTGTCCAAAAAAAAGTGCGCTATTATTCTTCCACTCGCAAAGCCAGTGTAGGCTTCTATATATTATTTAAATATTTATTTTATTTTGTTTATTATTTAAAGCATGTGAAAATATCATGTTTCTTCTATTTAATTCAATAAAAAAATAGTGCAATATCAAAACGGAACTTTTTTTCTCTCCAATGGCAATTTTTAAAAAGAAACTCCGATTATCCGAATATTTGATTATCCGAAAGGGTCCCGGTCCCCATTAATTCGGATAATTGGAGTTCTACTGTATGTATACATGGTCTGTTCAAAAAGTACCCGGAATTACTAATAATTAAATTTCGCGGGTCTGGAGTGTCTGATTGTCAAAATTTTTTTTTTATTGTGTTGGTATACATGCCCCTAAAGTATGATGAAATTTTCAGCTATATTCACTGTTTACTTTGTCTGTGGTAGTCGCTAAGGTTCGACGTGTTTTTCTGAGCTCGGCGATTTTTACAATGGAAGAATTGAAAAAGTCAAAGAATTTGTATTAAATTTTGCGTAAAAAATGAAATAAAGTGTTGCAAAGTGCAAAAATTCACCAGATATGGCTCCGTGTGACTTTTTCCTATTCCCAAAGTTGAAGAGACCCATGAAAGGACGGCGGTTTTCCTCGATTGAAGAAAATCGCCGAGAGTGCTCAAGGACATATCAAAAAGTGAATATCAAGGGTGCTTCGAAAATTGGAAAAAACGCTGGCATAAGTGTATTATATCTGGGGGGGACTACTTTGAAGGGGACCACATTAATGTAGACAAATAAATAAATATTTTTTTGAAAAAACGAAAATTACGAAAACTTTTTGAACAGACCTCGTATATGCATATATATATGATATATATATATATATATATATATATATATTTATATATGTGTGTGTGTATAGGATAATTATTTTGGGCATAAATAATCTTTAGGTTGTAGTTAATCATTACATGACATTAGATAAAGATTTATCGCTATAATAACAGAAAGTGCTATCATAGGATAGTTATCCTTCACATGCCATCATATTGAATTTTTTACAATTGTAGCTAAATGTACACATGAATACATACCCAATTGTCAGCTCTTCATGTCTTT